TATTCCTGATATCAACTCACCTTTGTTTCCTGTTTGCATAGACTACTGCATTCACTTTCAATCTATACGCATTAGTTATTAAGTCAGTCTTTCTTAGGCTTCAGAGTGGTTGGTTCATGTTTTTAACCATTTTAGAACACTGCTTTGATATGAGAATAGAACTCTTTGAGATCATGGAATCCAAATAGACTTACTACTGACATGTCAACTGACTTGTGGTTGTTTTATAGACCCTTTGCTCCATTTCTTCTTTCTTGATATTGCTCCTTGTTATTGGGTGACTTTTCTGTGTTGAGGTGTGCATTCCAGGAATACACCCTTACATGCCTCTAAGAACTAAAGTTGACCATGTTACTGAATTTTTCCCAACACCAACCACAAGTTCCTCTTCGAAGCTTTATTGATCCACCCTTTATATTAACATTGCTCAGTCATTTATTTTCTGTGAACTTTCACAGAAATCTAAAAACACTGACTCTAACAGCAGGTATATTGTATCAAAAGCTCACTGCAAGTGTGATTACCCACTGTCTGGCTCAACAGAGAATTGGACACCATGTTTACTGGATTTTGAGGCCATATTATATTTCTCAGATTCTCTAGAAACAATGTTCATTTCTCCTTTTTTATTAATTTTTAATTATGTATTTTAGCTTAAAAAGTAAATAAGTATTCAGTATATATCATGTATTTATATATGCAGTTGCTCTTATCTACCATTGCCTTCCCTGGTGCCCTTTCCCCCTTTGCTGGTTTCCTTCCCAAACAGTCCCTCCTCCTGGTTTTGCCATCCACACATTTCATTAGACTTTCCTGTTCCACTGTCTTTGGGTCTCTTCATCCTCTCTCATAGTCTCATTTCATTTTCTTTTTAAAATATTTTTATTACCTCCTTGGGAATTTCATACAATGTGCTAAACATAATCACTTCCTTCTTCCTTCCCCTAACTACTGCAAGATTCACTCACACCTCCCTGTCCCCCACAACTTTGTGTCATCTTTTATTTTTTAAATAACCTGGTTAGTCAAAAATTTAAGAAAACTGACCATGCTCTGTAGCAGGAGTCCTCCAAAGATGGCATGGACTCAGAGCCCTGGCATTCAGAGAGAATTCACTTCACTTCTTGGTCCGCAAATAGCCCACCAAAAGGAGCCCATGCCTCTGTACCCTCCTTGTGAGCCCAGTGACTGCTGACACTGTGTGGCATGGACCAATCAGAAAATGATACACTGACTAAAGGGACTTAGAGACGGAGAAAAGGGAAATATAAGGCCTGCCCCCTCCTGCATTAAATGATCCTGCAGCACCTCGCCTAGTGCTTGCTTCTACCCGACTCCTGGTGTCTGTGTGTTGACTCCGTGCCTCTTGCTCCCCCCACCAAATTGGCAGGGGACCTGATCCAGGTCAGGGTCTTCACAGCTGGCCTGAGGAGAACCCGCAACAATGCTCCAGTGGATGGCACCACATCCAGTCAACATATCAAGGACCACAGTATTAAGGAAAATTGACTTTACCACATCTGCATCACCATAATCATGTATCCTGGAGCTGGTGTCCATGTCTAAACATGAATCTCATGTATGTTCAAAGCACATCTAGTACATTTTAAAATTTTTTATAGTTTAGTTAATAATTTTGTGCATACATATGCTGGGAACCCATCTAGTTGACAGAGATAAAAGAATTTCATGCCTGGATTTTAGATTTCAGGTTTTCTCATTAGGAGTAGTCAATCTACTTGGGAGAATTATGGATTGAAATTGCTTGTGGCATATGAACTAGCATAAATTATAAGATGTCTATGAGTAGCAGATGGGAAAGAAAAGGGAAATAAAACACATGACAAGATATCTGTAAATATGCTTAACAAAAGGAAAAAAATAACAAAGCCCTGTAGGCATAAATGATATCAGAATAGGAACTCAGCCTTCAACACCCGAGAACTTTCTTTTATATAAAGACATCACTGTACACCCATCCAAACTACAATAACTATAACACATTGTCAATGTAGTTGAGTTTTTGTTTCCTTAGACTTTTATCATGTTCCCCTGGTACTCAAGACCCATGAAATTTTGATGGTCACTGTTGACTAACAATTCCTGCCACAAACCTCTTTTCTATAGGCATGTGATGTATGAACCAGGAAGAGTAAGCAAAAGGGAAGGGAATCCCTTCACAGTAAGGGAATTCTCAGTAAGGTGCCATTGTTATTCTCCTTCCTCCTCTTCATGCAGGAATCAACAGGGAGCAAGATGTCAGTCATCACTTGTACAACTTTGAAACCACGAGTATTAAAATAACACAGCAAGAAGACACTATGTACTTTGGACACAGAACTTTGAGCAACTGAGCTGTAACTGACCTGGAAGCCTCCTCCCTGAAATCTAGCTGTCATATAATCAGAGGATAATATGCAGGCTGCCAATGCAGAAAACCAATCAATGGTCCTACCTAGGTATAAAGCTTATGAACCACAACAATGATCAGTCCAGTAAATTAGCTCTATTTGTGCAGTAATGGTGCTTTTATCTTGGTGGGGGGTGGGAATCAACAGCTATCTAATTGGAATGAAGACCTTATCAATCAATGGGAGAGAATTTGTGTGTGGTTCTGTAAACATAGCCAAGTACACATGACTGGAGAGTTCATGGATCCTAAGGAAGAGCATAATTCTGTCACTTCCTTAGGCCAACATAACTTCTTTCTATAATATAAATATATATCCTTTTATTTATAGACAAGTATATCTCTCATCACTCATCAAAGAAACTTCTTTCTGTAACAGTCAAATGAACAATATTACAAAGGTCCACAACTGGTCAAATGCAGAAAATAAACAGCTGTGAAGTGCCCAACCCTAAATGACATATCTCCAATGCAACCTCTATACCTGAGGCTCAGAGAACATCATGGAAGAGGTGACAGAAAGACTGTAAAAGCCAAAGGAAAAAAGCACCTTCTTCATGCATTTCAGGTACTACAGGGAAGATACACCAATGAAATCTCACCGTTTGGTTGTCTCACAAGATCTGCATAATGAAAAAAAGGAAAAAAAAAAACAGATGACATGCCAAGGTAGATGGGGGAGATGTCTCAGAGTTCTACCTCAAGATGAAGATCTGCAGGAAATCAAGGGATGTTGAGGGAGAATCAGTTTTCTCCAAGGACTAGGCCCCAGAGAAAGTATCTAAACCAAGTGGGTAGCCCTAAACACAGAGTACCACAAAATCAGAGAAGACAAGAAATTGAGAGGGATGGGGAGGACATGGTAGGAGTTGGAAGAGGACTGGAAGGTATGGAAGTAATGCAAATACAATACCCATGTATGAAATTCTCAAAAACAACATAAATTTTAGTTGAATTTTTTTGAGTTTTATACAATATATTTTGATATTCAGACCCCCTCCCCATCTTTGTCCTCACCAGTTTTCATGTACTCTGTCACATATATTAAGTCCTATCAAGTTTGAATCCCAAAATGTCTTTCTGTGATTATCCATCCACTGGAACCTGGTTAACCTATCTAGCATCATACCCTTTAAGAAAACCAACTCTCTCTCTCCCAGTAGTTATCAGTTGTCAATAGTTCTTCAGCTAATGGGCATTTTTTCCCCACTTCTCCACCTTTATTCTAGGATTTTGTCTGCTTGAGATTCTGTGGGTCTTGTGCATGCTGTTACCATAGCCACATCCATAGACCAGCTCCAATAGTATCAGAAGATACTATGGAAACTGCCAAGGATGAAAACCAATTAATGATTCCATCCAGCTGTAACATCTAAGAACCACAATAATGATCAGCCCAGCTAATAATTTCTACTTGTGCAGTAGTGGCACTTTTATTTGGAGGTAGTAAACAGCTGTTTAATTGAACTTAAGGCCCATTCAGTGGGAGGGAACTCATGTTTGGTATTGTAAGCATAGTCAAAATCATATGGCTGGAGTGGTCTTAGATCTCAGAGAAAAACTTACTTTTTGTCACACCCCTAGACCAACATAATTTCTTACTCTATTCTAGAAACAATTTTTTTCAAAAATTCAGAAATAGTAAGGTATCAGAAGATCTTTTGTGATTTCCATGGTCATAATCTTCTCTACTCACTCCAAAATTTCATATTTCAAATTACGCTAGTTTTTCATCACCATAGTTGAATCATTATTACCATAGTGTTTAACAGGATCAAACCAATCACTTTACCATAGTCCAACTAAATTTTTTTTCTCATTGACCTCTCTATCCTAATCTTTTATCCATTGAAGGTGGAATAGATACTATTGGCATTAAATTATTTTGTTGAGACATAAAGAACAACATTTAAGGAATTATGCCACATGTGAAAGCAATTAATATTTAGATTTAATCAAAATTTGCATGGGTTCATGCTAGGTTACAGTCAACAAAATTTCTAGAAGATAAATTAGCAAGGAATGAATGATACACTGATATAAAAATTACTTTTCTTACAGAATAAATTTATTAACTGTTGGGTTTTGTTCCATTTTCTATACATGAGTAACACAGTCCTCTTGTGTTTCTGAATACAGTTACAGTACAGAGACAAAGTTGGAATTCAAATTTGAAAATTGTGTGCTTTCTTCAGGGATATGATGAGATTACTTTGTCTACATCAGGTACACACAGATGTCTTGATGGTATTTCAACTGCTCAACAGACAATAGTCAAGGTTTTCTTAGTTTGTAGCAAATGTATAGGAAAAGCTCCATTTGGGCTAGCTCATTTCAATGGTAAAAGATGAACAATGGTGGCATTTAAAAGCAAGAGGAATAGCAGGTTCTATAACAAAATGGTCGGTAGCAGCAACAGCCAGAGCTATATCCAGGACCATAGTGAGAGCTATATCCACAGCTATAGCCACAGTTGGACCCGTAGCCACATCCATAGCCACAGCCTAAGCCATATCCACAGCCATAGCCACAGCCAGACCCATAGACACAACCATAGCCAAAGCCTAACCCATATCCACAACTAGAGCCACAGCCAGCGCCAGAGCCACAGTGTGATCCATATCCAGAGTCATAGCCACAGCCTAAGCCATAGCCATAAACATAGCCACAGCCAGAGCCAGAGCTAGAGTCTCCACAGGAGTTTCCATAGTAGTTGTAGCACATGGTTCAGGAGGTAAGATTTCAGGGAAGTGCAGAAAGATCTGTTTGAACTATAGATGTCACTGAGCCTTCCAGGACTTCATATACTTACAAGAAATCATTGGTCACACCTCACATGGGCTCAGTTCTCTAATTTTAAACTATGTGTCTAAAATTAGTAATTCTTTGTACAATCATTTTGTTAAGAATTCATAACTTACTTGGACATCCCAAGAAAGTAAAGGTGTGTGTTCTAAACAACTGTGACTTCATTCTCCATAATTGCATTTCATGGATGTGACCCAGCAGAACACATTGTGAGGCATCTTTGACCATTAAATGAATGTTTACTTGTCACTCTGGTCTTTCAAGGTCACGACTACAGTATCTAAGTGTCCTTAGCAGGCAACAGTCATTGTATTAGCAGACACAGGATTGATAGTGCTAGAATCATTTTAACTTTCTCTCTTCCTAACCTGGGCTTTGTTTTCCCATAACAATGCCTAGCTAGTTGTGAAAACCAGAGGGAATCATATTACTCCTACACCCTACTGACAAATTATACATAGCAGATCAAGAAATATATGTCTAGGTAAGGTTTATCTGAGAACAACTGGTCTTTGCCCAAGATTTATCTACATGACACACAGTAATTAAAAATACCACACTGGTGGAACTAACCTTCTTGGGTGTTTAACAGACATGCTTTGAGGCCTATAACAATTTGGCCAGAGGGATATAAAGAACACTTTTTGCTCCTAGCCCTCCTAGGTTGACTAGTTCCAGGGAACTATGAGCATCTCTCAAAATATCCTATAATGGTGAG